TTTCCCTACTATTTTTTAATACTATAATTAAAAAAATTAATTTAGATGCTTTTGATACAGTTTAAATTGTGCAAACTAAGTCCATTTTGACATTCATTTTCCGTAGATTAGATTCATTGTACGTTCATTTCTTTTTGTGGAAATTAGTATTCTGAAGACCAAAGGAGAAGGAGAAGTATTCATTAGTATTCAAAAGGAAAAAAAATTTATTTAATTCATTTGTAATAAAGATTATGGATGCATGCATGAATAACAATTCCACATGGACAATAGGAAACAAATCGGGGAATAAGTCACCAATATCCCAAAATGATTAAATTTGGTAATTATTTTCATATTTAATTGCATTCCTCACAAACCACTCTACCACAGATTCATTACCCAATAAACATAAACCTTATATAGTTATGTGTATGTGTGTGTATATATATATATATATGCTGTGCATGTGAAATGTATAAGAAAAACAATAACTCATCCTTTGAAAAATGGCGTCTCGATTATCTTCTTCAACCATTTTCTCACTCTTCTTGGTCTCATCAGCGTTTCTCTCAAACGCAAACGCGGAATCCGAACGCGGTTTCACCGTCGACCTCATCCACCGCGATTCCCCCAAATCGCCGTTTTACAATCCCGCGGAGGCCCCATCGCAGCGTTTGAGGAACGCGTTACGTAGATCAGCGGACCGCGCGGTCCATTTCGCCCGTTCGGATGGTTTGTCACCAAACACGCCTGTATCTGAGATAACGTCAAACCGAGGCGAGTATCTGATGAACATCTCGATCGGGTCGCCGCCTTTCCCGATAATGGCGATCGCCGACACGGGGAGCGACCTGATCTGGACGCAGTGCAAACCCTGTGAAGATTGCTACTCGCAAGACGCTCCTCTCTTCGATCCAGAACGCTCGTCCACGTACAAAAAGGTTTCTTGCAGCTCAAGGCAATGCCAAGCCACAGAAAGAACCAGTTGCATTGGCGGTACTTGCCAATACTCTATCTCGTACGGTGACCGGTCTCACTCCATCGGCCATATCGCAGTCGACACCGTCACGCTCGGGTCCACGGACAGCCGCCCCGTGGCTCTTAAAAACACTGTCATCGGGTGCGGCCACGACAATGCAGGAACGTTCAACGAGAAGAGTTCAGGGATCATCGGACTCGGAGGAGGCTCAGTTTCGCTGATTAGACAACTCGGCGACTCGATCGATGGGAAATTCTCGTACTGTTTGGTCCCTCTGTCGTCGAAATCCGACGGGACCAGCAAGATGAACTTCGGTTCCAAAGCTGTAGTGTCGGGCACTGGAACCGTCTCTACCCCAATCGTCAAGAAAGAACCGGACACATTCTACTATCTGACACTCGAAGCTATTACCGTGGGAAGCAAGAAACTCGATTTCGACAGCTCGGGTCTTGGAACCGAAGAAGGTAACATAATCATCGACTCGGGCACAACACTAACGTTGTTGCCGTCCAGTTTTTACTCCGAACTCGAGTCGACTGTTGCATCGATGGTGGATGCGGAGCGAACGTCGGATCCAGGAAAATTTTTGAGTCTGTGCTACCAATTGAGTTCCGATCTCAAAGTTCCGACAATCACAATGAACTTCAAAGGGGCAGATGTGAAGCTCGACCCCTCGAATTACTTCGTGCTGGTCGCAGAAGGCGTCGTTTGCCTCGCCTTCGCCGGAAACGACAACTTTTCTATCTACGGCAACTTGTCTCAGATGGACTTCCTTGTCGGATACGACAGCGTTTCGCAGAAGGTGTCCTTCAAGCCAACCGATTGTGCTAAGATGTAAAAGGAGGAGGAGGAATTATCTGTCATATGATGCTTTCATCTCTTTTCTTGTGGGTTCGTTTTCTTGATTGTTCGTTCATATGTATTTGGCTTGATTTTCAGTAATAAAATTTATATTATAAGTAGGATAACCGGACCAAACCGAAAAAACTAATACCGTTCCAAAACTGAACCGTCATAAAATCCCAAACAGTTATGTTTTCAACAAAATCGAATAAATCAGAACCAAACCGAAGTGAATATAGGAAAACCCAGAAAAAAGAGAGTTTTTTAAGAAAATAAAATTAAAAAAAATTCTAAACGAGAACCGTATCAAAAGAACCGAGAGTTGAATACAGCTGAAAAACTAGAAATTTCATAAGAAAATAAAAAAAATAAAATAAAAAACCGAATTGAATCGAACCCAAAACCAAACCGGATCGAACGCAATGTAACAACCAAATGGTATAAATTTTCTATAACTAAATAACCCGAACTGAACAAATATCGAACCGAACCGAACCCCTAAGGGTATTTATTGATTTGAATAATTTTTTTTGAAGGAATAGAATCACATTTACATTCATCTGCCAGACATCCAACGACTAAAACAACGAGAACATGGCTTCATCCCGAACCACGAGTGACCCGAGCCATGTTATTTCGATGGCATGGCAGTGCAAGAATCTTACGAGGATCACAGTACAGCTGTGATCGCATAACCACCGCCTTACATGATATTGGAACAACACTAGTTCTGGCACAAGAGTGAAGATCTCAACGAGGTTTCTAGCACAAGTGTGAAGAACGATGGTGACCAGTTCCTTAATAGACAGCAGCTCGTACCTGTGGGTTTTTGAAGGGGAGATTCCGGGTTTATGGTGCATCAAGATCTTCATGAAGAGATTCTAACTCCATAAAATGCAAATGCTGAGAAAAGAAACTGAAACATAAGAGTAGAAGATGCTGTTTCTTCTGGGATAACATTAAAGAACCAGCTGAAATGGTAAGATAAGGTTGCTCTCCGAGAATGAACAGGGACTCGACAATCTGGACAACGGCCATCGAGAAAGGACCGGACGGTTCATTGATAGCGTCGATAACAGATGAGATTGAATCGAGAAACAGAGGTAATAGAGAACCTCTTCTTGACTTCCACTAGCTACAATGACTGAACTCATCAGGTCTTTACAACAGAAAACCAACCGATCCATCAACAAAAAGCGTTTGCAATTGCGCCGCTTGACAACAGATAAATCAGGCGTCTTCTGTGTGGAAGAGCTTCTCCACATCCGCGACAGTGTTCTTTGCATCTTCGATTTCCGGGCATTCCTTCTCGTTTGCCTCTTCCAGTTCCACCTAGACACATTCAACACGGTTTTCTTTCGTTAAATTTAACTAGAGTCAGCTATGTTTTCACTAAATCTCAAAAGCACTTATTTATGCTTCGTGCAAGGCCGCCTTCCACAGCTAGACTCTGAAAATTCCCGTCACAGTCACAGATTAACAACTCCAAAACCAAGATGCAATTCCTCAGGTAAACACTCTACACATGTTAAGTTGTTATCCTACACTAATTCCTTAGAAGCTAGATATCTTTTTAGGGTTTAGAGAGAGCAACAAAACTTGAAGATATAATTACCAAAGTTGCCTTCAAGTCAGCTAAAGCTGCCTCCAAGCGTCTGTGGCAATCCGGAATCATCATCCTCGACTCAGCCAATACATTTTCCTGCACTCCACATGGAAACAAATGGAAAGAGGAAAAAAAAGTGAAGGAATTGAAACCCACAAGAAACTTTCGAGTTCATCATATCTTAATCTGAATTTGTAACAATTGGTATCGACGATACAATGCCTGAGGGGATGGGATGAAATAAAACCCGGTTCATCATCTTAAATACATAAAAAGAAGCAAAATCAGCACCTAACATGACATCCGTAAGGTTTTCTAATGAAGCAAGAAACAATGGAATCAACCTTAAATACTGGAGAGAGAACAGACAATGGATACCTGTTGTTTTAGATCGTAAGGGTCGGCTCCTTTCTCCTTCATATCAGCTGTCTTAGCAGCTTCTCTCTCGACCTCCTTCTCGTAGGAGTGTAGCTCTTTGACAATCCTCTTACATGTAGATGTCTTGATCTTTAGATTCCTGATCGTTGCCATGATTACCTGCCAATTAAAGCTCTTTCCTTTAGATTTTCATGGTAAAAAAAAAAGGGGAAGAAAAGGGAAAAGAGCTATACTACATGTCTTTTGAATCTATGAGTCAACTCTAACTTCCCCTTCTATACCAAGGAACATCAAACACACACAAATGCAACATTTACATGAATTCGGAGACCAAAACAAGTTGCCATTATAACCCATCAAGTAAAGAATTTCCCATTTGATGAGCATCACAGAACAAAGTGATTTGGAAACTTGTAGAAGTAAATCCAAGCAAATGCATCAAATGTTCTACCTTCCTCCTTCACTAGGGCACATCAAGCACACACAATATGCGACATTTGGATGAATTTGGAGACTCAAAAGCAAAACTTATCCATAACAAGACAATGGTTCTCGCTGTAAACGGAAAGATAGACTTTAAATACTGCTTGCTAATACACTTCTTTCTCGCTGATTCTGGTTTTCGAGAGGATCTAATTCACTTTGTTATCGTCGCGAAACCCAAATCGAACACACAATTGGTCCTATCAAAATCGGGTCGCTTCAGGAAAAATAAAAGGCAAAGATCGAATCTTTCATTCAGAAACAACGCACCAAAATCAGAGGAAACAAAGTAAATTACAGAGACGATTTCGACAGATCGAGAGAGAGAGACTTCGAAACTCAGATCGGAAAACAGAAGCGTTAAAAATGAAAAACTGGACAAAGGAGGGGGCATGGCGCGTGCGTATTAGGGATGCGGACGTATCGGTATCCGGCGCGTGTGTGTGGACACGTGTGGCTTCATCAGGGTATTTATAGATTTACAGCTTTACCCCTAGCTCTGCTTCATTATTACCATTTGGCTAAAGTATGAATCTTTTTGGCACTTTTCTCAAGACTCAGGAGTGTCAATTTAGACCTCGGGTCTGAAATTCGGCACGGTCCATCTCGAAAAATACCAAATTTTGGATTTAAGTTTTTTCGATCCGCAAATAATCGGATTTTCATATTGGTTTTACATCAGATTTCAGATTTGATTCAGACCGAGAGACGGAAGCCCAAAATATATATTTTTTTTAAATCATAATAGAAAAAAGAAAAAAATTTATATTTACGGATCCGTTCGATCTAAAAATAGTTTATTATAAAAAAAAAGAGTTAATTCTAAAATAATCGATTGGATATTCTTTTTTTAATGTTATAAAGATGTTTATTCGGATCATATGATTCATATTGTGTGAGTTAATGGAATATCCTTAAAAATATATTGATGCAAACAATTTAAAATAATTAAAAAAATTGAAGAAAAAAATAATGAATTCAAGTTGTAAGAACTTTATATTTTTACCATCTCCTCTGAATGATAGAAATATTCTCGATAGCCCATGAAAAAAGAATTAATTAAATATGTTTTCTTTTGACCGCAATGGTAATAATATATTGATGGTTCAACAAAAAAATAATAATATATTGATGGAAAACATCTAAAAATAGTTTAAAATAAAAAAAAATAGATAATTCAAATTGTTACCAGTTTGAAGAAACCCAAAACAATACTGAAAAAATGAAACATGTTGAAAAAGAAACATGTTAATTTATTTTAAATTTAATATGAAATCAAATTTGCAGAAATAAATCTAGATCGCTAAGATACTCAAATCGTGGAAATAAATTGAATAAAATCAAGATTATATCACAATCGATTTTTGTAACGAGTTTGGATGATTAGTTTAGCGGTTTTCGAAGTCTAAACTAGAAAACAATAAATTTATCATTAATTTATTATTTTATCCATGAAAATGGAATTACATAACGACGTTTTCACAAGAGTTGTCATACTTTTTTATCATATGATAATTCGACACCTAATTTTCAATAGATCATTACATTAATCTAAAACAAAACAATACATATCCATTTTTGATTAAATGTTTTTTTCAATCATCGAAAAATAATCCCAATAGCAAACGTTCACCGTTTCAAGATTCTAGTTCTTGGGGGCATTCTTGCAAAAAAAATAAAATTGAATTGGAAAAATATTTGGACATAACGTGTGGATTTAGATTTAACATCCTTAATGGACCGATTCTTTCACACGATCAAATCATCTATAAGAACGAGCTCGACCGATTTGGTTCACAAACCTCCCGCCTCTCCATCAACGCAGGAAAGATTCAAGAAATAAACAAAGAGAACCATTCCAATATGGGCATTAGGAGTTTCTTCTCTCTCTTTCTCCTATCTGTGACAATCCCATACGCCATGGCTTCGGACCCAAGCCCTCTTCAAGATTTCTGCGTCGCCGTTAACAACCCCGCAAACGCATGTACGAATCTCTACTCTATTTTTCTATGTTCCCCTTTCATGGCTTTTGGATATCTGTGATTAGGTCTTTACGTGTATTTTACAACATTCGCCGACATTGTAGTTTCAAAACCGATCTATTGTCTTGTGTTTTTCGCAGTGTTTGTGAACGGAAAGTTCTGTAAGGACCCGAAACTCGTCACGGCAGACGACTTCTTCAAATCCGGCTTCGACAAGGCAGGAAACACGACCAACCGGATCGGATCCAGTGTGACCGCGTTCAACGTTGACACCCTTCCGGGGTTGAACACGCTCGGGATATCGCTCGTCCGTATAGACTACGCACCGTTCGGACAAAACCCTCCCCACACCCACCCACGTGCGACTGAAGTGCTTGTCGTCCAAGAGGGCACTTTGTACGTAGGTTTCGTCTCGTCGAACGCAGATGGCAACCGTCTCTTCACGAAAACACTCAACACTGGCGATGTGTTCGTCTTCCCCGAAGGCCTCATCCATTTCCAATTCAACCCGACGCGTTCCAAGGCCGTCGCTTTCGCCGCCCTAAGCAGTCAGAATCCTGGCGTCATCACGATCGCCAACTCGGTTTTCGGGTCTAAACCCGCGATTGACCCGATCGTCCTCTCAAAGGCATTCCAGTTGGATGTTAACGTGGTTAAGAATCTTCAGACCAAATTCTGACCCCGTGATTGTATTCTGAATTTTTTCTAACAACATTCCTACCGAATAATGTGTTGTGAAATTTACCATGCTTTGAAAGTTACTGCCTTCTGCTTGTCCGAAGTATTGTCTCTTCTCTTAACAATGAATATGAATACTTTTTTTTTTTTGGTTAAAATGAATATGAACACTTTAGCACTAAAATATATTAAGAATGGAATATAATTAATAAAAAAAATTACAAAAAATGTCTCTGAGATTAAACAAATTAGTACTAAAATACATTTACAAATTACTTCTTACTATGGACAAGATTCGCCGGTTAAACAGTAACCTGAGATGGTTTCTTATCGCACAAGAAACCATCATCACAAAATAGACTACTGCCTTGTGTAATAAGAAACAACCGTCCAACGATGAATTAACCTCACGGAGTATATATATCCATTTGCTGTTTTAGTGAAACCCCAACAAATATATTGATGATGATAAAATATGATATAAAAATTAGGGGTGTAAAACGGGCTGTCCCGATCCAGTCCAGATCATCCCAATCTGAAAAATTTTCAGCTCAACTCATTTTTGGCCCATTTTTTAGCGAGCCAAAAATATGTCAGCTCACTCCAGATCGTCTTAACTCGTGAGCCAAATGAGTCGGCCCCCGAGCCAAACATATAAATTTTAAAAATAAATTTTAATATTTAAAAATATTTAAAAATAATTTTAATATATAAAATATTTTTAAAATATCTAAAATATAATAAAAAAAATAAAAATTTTAAACAAAATAAACTAAATATGTAATAAAAATAAAATTTGTATATATAAAAATATTAAAATTTAAAAAAAATAAATATTTGTTCTGACCCGAGAACCAGTTCAGATCGTGATGGGTTGGCTCACCATGAACCCGGCTCATGATAGGTTGGCTCATATGACCCGTTTTTTTATGAGCTCAAAATATTTGAGTTTGACTCGGAAAAATATGGGTTGGCTCATGAGCCACCCGCGAACCGAACTGGTTGAAGTGGGTGAGGCAAAACTCCCACCCGAACTCTTGGGTTACCTTTTAACAAAAAAAAATGATATAAAATAATGTACAATCAAATAATAAACCCAAAATATAAGGATAAACACACATAGTTAATATTGATAAAATATTACATCTAGATTATAGTTATCTACTAACGATATGATACAGTTGCCCATATGTGAGTGCTCTAAGTGGTGTCGTAAAGTAATCACGGTTCCATTTTGGTCATCACCAATATAGAAAACATGTTACAGTTTTGTCAAGATTTCGCTTATTCGAATTTTTATAGGTTTAAAATTTAAACATTATCTTCCGTTTTTTTTTTAAAATTATTCGTTCCGGCAATGCTCTTATGTTCAATATAACAATGCAACCTTGGAATCCAAAATCTGATGATGTAAATTTTCCTATGAAAATTCAAGAGTTTCGAATTATTCCAACACATAAAACAACATTCACCATTGAAACCCAAATTTGAGTTATTCAACCGGTGAAACGAGACGTAAAGCGTTTGTCCCGCCCTGAGTTCGAATATCAAATTTGGAAAGAGAGCATATATTCCAAAATATCTCACTGGTTCCCGACTCCGGAATTAGTATGGATTTCAGTACCTGATTACAAAAAAAACATTCACCATTAGATTCATCAGGTCGAAGATAATTTAATTATAATATTGAATATGGATAGTTGTCTAAGTCTGTTAACTACGTCCAAATCAAAATTCACAATCATCAACTTTTTTTTTCTCATAAAAAATAAGAAAATCTTGTTATTACTGCCCATAAAAAAAATAAGTAGAATTAATTTTTTTATATCTAATCATTTTAGATGTTGGCTGTAAATTAATGGTAACTATATAACAACGAAACGAATAGTTCGAAAAAGTCAATTAATTCAAGTTGTCACCCATTTGATATTTTTTATAGTTTGGTTTAAAACAATAGCTTCAGTTAGTTAGGACGAGGAAAAAAAAATTATGAGATTGAGAAAATCTCCGATAAATTGAAGAATCGATCGGCGAATATATATGAAGATTCAACAGAAAAATCGAAGGAAATCGAAACCAAGGGTGATATATATATATATATATACTCTCATACTATAAAGAAATTTGAATTATAGGAAGATGAAATGTGGAACATATTTTCGGTACATATCTGTAAGAATAAAGAACAAATATTAATTGAAAAGCCGTTACAATGTCCAACATGGTCATGTATTTAAATAAACCATCCAAGACATATATATATATATATATCACACCCACCCACGTGCGACTGAAGTGCTTGTCGTCCAAGAGGGCACTTTGTACGTAGGTTTCGTCTCGTCGAACGCAGATGGCAACCGTCTCTTCACGAAAACACTCAACACTGGCGATGTGTTCGTCTTCCCCGAAGGCCTCATCCATTTCCAATTCAACCCGACGCGTTCCAAGGCCGTCGCTTTCGCCGCCCTAAGCAGTCAGAATCCTGGCGTCATCACGATCGCCAACTCGGTTTTCGGGTCTAAACCCGCGATTGACCCGATCGTCCTCTCAAAGGCATTCCAGTTGGATGTTAACGTGGTTAAGAATCTTCAGACCAAATTCTGACCCATATATATATATATATATATATATATATATATATATATATATATATAACCAATACATAGGCAATATATTAACGAATACATAAGACATAACTGTAAAGAAAAAAAGTAAAAAATAATTTCTGCGACTATGTCGGGTTTTTTTTTTTAACACAAATTATATTTAACTTGGTGAAAATATTGAGAATGCCTTTGACAAAAATAAAAGAAAATACGGAGAACGGTGAAAAAAATGTTTCTGAATTTTTATGTCGGTGTAAATATACTATTAAATAACTAACGTGTTTTTGTACGAACAAAATAAATGACCCGTGAAATTGAGAATTTAAACTTTATTTTTTGGTAACATGTATGATTTAGCAGACAAATAATTAGAGAACATGATTTCTAAAACCTAGTTGAACGAAGAAACCCTAAAACTAACTCAAATTGGAAAACAAAAGAAAGTTAATTCAAGTTGACTTTTTTTTTTCTTTCCATATCGTATGGACCACAAACAGTAAATCAAATAAATTTTATACCAACTAAACTATTTATATATAAACGCAAATGATAATGATATAATGGTAGAAATTTTTTAACAACTAGCTAAAAATATAATTCAATGCGTGACATTTTTTATACCTCAAATTGAGAATTATGCTTTTAGGTATTCTCTTTTTATCTCTTTCAAATCCTGTAACCATCTACGTTAAGATTGACAGCTTACCGACATTTAACGTAAACACCCAAAGCAAAACCAAACACGTTGACTTCTAATTGAGGGGTTAGCCATATGTCACCTTTTTTTGTATAATCAGTGATGTCTGGTGGATTCGAACCACTGTGATACCACTTCTGGACCATAGGGCACAATTTTAATTTGCAAAAAAAATATATTAAAAACATTGATTTTAGAGCAGATTGGAAGAAGAAAACGATTGCCCTCGCACCCTCGTTTTCAATACGCAACTAAAACGAAACAATACATATCCATTTTGATTAATTCGTCGAAAACTAATGCCAATATATATATTCGGGCTCTAGTTCTAATAAACGCTTACCATTTCAAGATTTCAGTTCTTGGGAGTAGTTGCATTTCTTGATTTGAATTATTAAAAAAAAAAACACGTAGAATAATATTGGATAGAGCGTGTGCATGCATGCATTTAGGTTAATATAATATATCTCTAATATGGACCGATTCAAACACAATCATCTATAAAATGGCATGTTTTGATTCGTAGATCTCCCACCTCTCCATCGACTCAAGATTCAAGAAGTAAACAGAAAGAACCGTTTCAATATATATGGCTCCTAAGAGTTTCTTCGCTCTCTTTCTCCTATCTGTGACACTCTCATATCCCATGGCTTCGGACCCAAGCCCTCTTCAAGATTTCTGCGTCGCCGTTAACGACCCAGCAAACGCATGTACGAATCTTCCCTACTCTATATTTCCCTGTTCCTTTTTCATGGTTTTGGACATTCACTCAGATATCTGATTAGGTCTTCGCGTGTTTTGCAACATTCACTGACTTTGCATTCTCCCATGTTTTTACAGTGTTTGTGAATGGAAAGTTCTGCAAGGACCCGAAGCTCGTCACGCCAGAAGACTTCTTCAAAGCAGGCTTCAACAATGCGGGAAACACGAACAACCGAGTTGGATCCAATGTAACGGCTTTCAACGTTGGCAACCTTGCAGGGTTGAACACGCTCGGGATATCGCTCGTCCGTATAGACTATGCACCGTTCGGACAAAACCCTCCTCACACTCACCCACGTGCGACTGAAGTGCTTGTCGTCCAAGAGGGCACTTTGTACGTAGGATTCGTCTCGTCGTCGATCCCAGATGGCAACCGCCTCTTCACCAAAACACTCAACACTGGCGATGTGTTTGTCTTCCCCGAAGGACTCATCCATTTCCAATTCAACCCGACACACTCCAAGGCCGTTGCATTCGCCGCTCTGAGCAGTCAGAACCCTGGTGTCATCACGATCGCCAACTCGGTTTTCGGGTCTAAACCCGCGATTGACCCGATCGCCCTCTCAAATGCATTCCAGTTGGATGTTAACGTGGTGAAGAATCTTCAGACCAAATTCTGATCTCGTGTTAATTAAGAGACATTATCTTCTGAATTTTCATTAATAATGTTCCTATGAATAATGATGATGTCCGTATGTGTGTGTTTTCAATCGTGTTTAATAAAATTTACTATGCTTTGGAAGTTTATGTATGTTCTCCTGTTCTAAGTGTTGTCTCTTCTCAGTGTCTTCAATGTTGCAATGCCCTTGAAAGTTTCTATTTGTCTTCTTGTTCGAAGTGTTTCTCTTCTCAACTATTAATTTCGATGTTGCAAGTCAGATTCTGAACCTCCAGGGAATACTTTAGCACTGAAATACATAATAAATGGAGCCCTAATTAAGACCAAGCTACAATACGAGCTATGGTAGGCAATCTGTTCTTAACCGCAAGCCAAACAATGAGTGAGTGGTTAGGGATGGAGTTAGAGAACCAGATTACCTCAGACCAAGGAGAACTCGTGGTCGATGTTGAAGATTCCACCATACATATTCAAAGGATGATGGAGACGATCGAGAGGGCCATGCATGTGTCCGTTGGAAAATATTCTGAGCAATTAATAAGGATACCAATGGAGCAATCAAGCACTAACTAAGTCATACCAAGTATTAATAAGTTTCTATATAATGCATAAATATATTTTGGACTTTAGTTATTTCCTTACATAGAAATTTATATCGGTTATCACTTTAATAGTTTTGCTTTATTGGCATCCTTTGTATAGATTATAAAAATATAAAGAAGCGTGTAAAATCATTCATGGAATAAGGAAGGGACTTAGTCCCCTTTTGTTCATGAACTCTCGGCCATCTTCTTTTACGACCGATTCCAATCTCTTCTACTTTATTTCGACAGCGGTTGAATAAAATTCTACACGCGGTTGAATAAGTTACCACGTGCGTTTCATCGTGAAAGCCGTTGTGCGGACTGTAGAAAAGGAATGATCAGCCCGTGACGAGGAGGGAGGTGGTTGCAATGAAGGAAAGTCCAACCCGTTTTCTTGTTATGATATCCGTGTAGCAGTTACGTTAGACCAAGTATGCGGTAAACGCCGAGATCAAAAGAATAAAAAACACGTTGACCTTTGTTTGAGTCAACGTCCGCACCGAACATGATCAGTTCTGAAACACTAGTTGTATGAAGAACATGTGCATACTCGATCATGGAATAACGAAAAATAGCGCGTGTTATTGGTCTAAAATGAAATATTTGATGGACCGAAACTATCACGTATCCCATATGAATTGTGCTCTCACCCATCCTTCCAAAACTTCAGAAGAAGTCATTTCACATTTGCCGATCAATGCCACAGTCAATTAATGTCGATAACCTCCCGGGTTTAAACATTCGTATACAAGGGTAATAATGTAATTATATCTTAATTATATCTTAAAAATTAAAAAGTTTTTGATTTTTGCATTAAAATAGTTTTTCAAGTTTTTACAAACATTAAATTTACAATATCTTAATTATCATTTTTTTTTTGTGAATTCTAAAAACTCAAAAACTTCCTCCATTCAGAAAGGGTATTAAAAAGCTGGTTAAATGTCCAACGTGGTCATGTATTTTTAATTTTCCATCCAGGTAAACCGTCACTAGCTCATGGGCCACAGGAACTTGTTTCTAACTATTTAAATAAACCATGCTCCTTTTAAAAAAAGTGTATTTCCAAGACATATATACCCAATACATAGGCAATATATTAACGGAAATTAAAAATAATTCTACCACGATGTCGGGTGTTTTTAAACACAAATTATAATTAATTTGGTGAAAATATGGAGAATGGTAAAAAAAAAATGTTTCTGAACTTTTATGTCGTTTTCCCGTGTAAATATACTATTAAATAATTAATATATTTTGGTAGGAACACGATAAATGATATATGTGTTATGGCTGCTCTGTCTGATAATAATAATAGACGATCCATTCCGTTCCAAGATCAAAAGAATCCAAAAACACGTTTACTTTCTTTTTTTTTTGAGCGAACTCCCAATTCTAACAAACGCTTACCAGTTCAAGATTCCAGTTCTTGGGCATAGTTGCGTTTCTTGATTTGAATTATTTTAAAAAAAAAATACATAGAATAATATTGGACATAGCGTGTGCGTTTAGGTTAATATATCTCCAATGGACCGATTCAAACACAATCATCTATAAAATGGCACGTTTTGATCCATAGATCTCCCACCTCTCCATCAACGCAGGAAAGATTCAAGAAATAAACAAAGAGAACCATTTCAATATGGGCATTAGGAGTTTCTTCTCTCTCTTTCTCCTATCTGTGACAATCCCATACGCCATGGCTTCTGATCCAAGCCCTCTTCAAGATTTCTGCGTCGCCGTTAACGACCCCGCAAACGCTGGTACGCCATATATCGTAATCGGTTTTTCTCTGTTCCTTTTCATTGTAAAAAACATTCACACGTACATATAAATCGTTTAAAGTATATATGTAAGGTTGAAACCTATCCTCATAGGTTCTTCTCCGATGAGGTCTTTACGTATTTACAGCATTCACTGACTTTGCATTGTTGAAACCGACCTCGCAGTGTTTGTGAATGGCAAGATCTGTAAGGACCCGAAGCTCGTCACGCCAGAAGACTTCTTCAAAGCAGGCTTCAACAATGCGGGAAACACGAACAACCGAGTTGGATCCAATGTAACGGCTTTCAACGTTGGCAACCTTGCAGGGTTGAACACGCTCGGGATATCGCTCGTCCGTATAGACTATGCACCGTTCGGACAAAACCCTCCTCACACTCACCCACGTGCGACTGAAGTGCTTGTTGTCCAAGAGGGAACTTTGTACGTAGGGTTTGTCTCGTCGAATGGAGATGGCAACCGTCTCTTCACCAAAACACTCAACACTGGCGATGTTTTTGTCTTCCCCGAAGGACTCATCCATTTCCAATTCAACCCCACCCATTCTAAGGCCGTTGCTTTCGCCGCTCTGAGCAGTCAGAATCCTGGTGTCATCACGATCGCTAACTCAGTTTTCGGGTCTAAACCCGCGATTGACCCGATCGTCCTCTCAAAGGCGTTCCAGTTGGATGTTAACGTGGTAAAGAATCTTCAGACCAAATTCTGATCCCGTGGCAAGAGACATTATCTTCTGAGTTTTTATTAATAATGTTCCTATGAATAATGATGATGAATGTGTGTCGAGAGACATTGTATTTCAGAATTTTCATTAATAATTTCCCTATATATATGAATAACGATGATGTATGCGTGTCTGTTTAAGAAAAATTTACTGTTCGAACTGTTGTCTCTCCTCAATGTTTTTCAATGTTGCAATGCCTTTGAAAGTTTCTGTTTGTCTTCTTGTTCGTAATGTTTCTATTCTCAACTATTAATTTCGATGTTGCAAGTCAGACTCTGAACCTCCAGGGAATACTTTAGCCCTGAAATGCATAATGAATGGAGCCTAAGACAGACCAAAATTAATATATATATATATATATATATATACATATATCCAAGATTAGACAGTTCCTGTAATGATGAAGTTTCATCAATTACACGACAACCTGGACGGTTTCTTTTCGGGCAAGAAACCGACATCAGTAATAGACTATTGCCACGCTCTATTCTTTAAGAAATTATCATACAAGGAAGAAAATATAGGATCAAATAAAAAACCCTAAATTGATTAAAGCCCTAATAAACATACAATTAGTAAATATTCTTAAAATATGTGATCTAGATTACAACTTCACTTTTATTCTCCCAAAATTCATGTGATCCCGATTATCCGGATTTGATGCTAACATCAAAGATTGTTCACTTGAGTTATGTTTCAAACCTTGTTTTCAAGTTTTTGTGTGTGTTCGAACATGATTTATGTGTTCAGAATAATGTAAAATCAAGTTCATATATTACGTATATATATACACAGTATTTGAAAATTTGACAAATACGGAGAATGATAAAAGGACCGACTTTCGCAAAACTCATGAAAAAAATTGCGATTTATTATGCCATTTCTACTAATTAACGTCTTTTTTTTTTATATAAACATTGTGTGTTGGCGTGTTCTATTTGGGCAGAAGTCACGTAGACCAAGTGTGCGATGCTTATCCATTAGGCAACGACAAGATCAAAAGAATCCAAGAAACAGGTTGACTTTTGTTAAGAGTCAACGTGGCATGATTAGAAGACCGTTTAACATGTTAATTAATTCTAAAAACACCAGTTGTAAGAAGAACATGTGCATACGATATATCAATATCATGGAATTCCAGTTGTCAAAACTCAAATTTTATCTTTCGTTTTACCATTTCATGGCATAGTTGCAATTCTTGAATTGAACAAATCATGTAATAATGAAAAATAGCGTGTGTTATTGGCCTAAAATGATATCTTTGATGGACCGAATCTGTCACTATCCTATTCTATGAATAGGAATAATGTAATTATATGTATTTAGGGTTGGGGTTATTAGTTAAGTGTGACAAAAAGATGTGGTGTTTTGCAAAATATGACAAAATAGTTATGACCTTTGCAAACTATACATTTTTATAAATTTTTGACAAAATGACCCTTACTTTATTGTATAATTTCAATATTGTCATTTAACGTCCCAATAAATGTGCAATATAAAAAGCAGATTTTTTTGGAAACCGTGTCATCCGGGAGAGCTGTTTTTCATCCGGGAGAGAGTGTTTTTATCCCGGAGAACTATTTTTTGTCCGGGAGAATCTGTTTTTTGTCCTGGAGAATTTTTTTTGTTCGGGAGAGTTTGTTTTTATCCGGGAGAATCTTTTTTTTGTCCGGGAGAACTGTTTTTTGTCCGGGAGGATTGTTTTTTGTCTGGAAAAATCTGTTTTTCGTTCGAAAAAGTTTGATTTTTTGTTCGGAAGAACTGTTTTTTTCGAGGGAGTTGTTTTTCGTTCGGAAGTGTACGTTTTTGGTCCGAATGAAAAATAGTTCTCACGTATAAAAAAATTGTTTTTTTATATAAAAAACATTTTTTCTCCTATGAAAACAATTTTCTCAAAAAAAAGTATTCTCCCAAACGAAAATAGACTTTTTCAGATAAAAAAACATTTTTTCGGATAAAAAAAAGTCTTTCCCGAATGAAAAAATAATTTTTTCGGACGAGAAACAATTCTTCTTGATAAAAAAATTATTTTTTTTCGTATACAAAAACAGTTAAACCAAATAAAAATAGATTCTCACAGATAAAAAATAATTATTCTGGATGAAAAAAACAGTTTTCCGAGATAACACAGTTTCTGAATAAAATATATTTTTTATGCTGTAATTTTTTTGAATAATGGCAACATTAAAATTATACAATAAAGTAAGGGTATTTTTGTCAAAAAATTATAAAAAGGTATAGTTTGCAAAGGAAGAAAAAAAAGGTATAGATTTCTAATGACGTGACGTTTTTGGATACTGGTGCAAATTTTCCCTTTAGGGTTTTTATCAAGTGCTTGGCCGTGGGATGTGGATGGACGGGAGCCGTCTCAACATTTTTTGAGGCCCGTTAGATTATACGAAAATTGTTAATATTTGATTAAAAAAAAGTATAAATTAATATAATAAAAATTATTAATGATTTTAAAAAACATTAATTTTTATAATAAAAACTAGTTAAATACAATCAATAAATTTTATAACGTTTTTCTGTATTAATGATAAGAATAATATTTTTTTTAAAATCCTTGAATTTAGGTTTTGAAATTAATATAATTCATTTTCAGTTTTTAAATAAATTCTTTAATTATTATTGATATATTTTAACAATTATAAAATCAATTTGATATTGATTTTGAATTAATAAAAAATTTGCATTATGACTAATTTATATATCATATTTATTTATACAGTAATATAATGTATAATAATTATATCAAACGATTGATTGCAGTTTTCCAATCTATATTTATTATTATAATAATATATAATTCACAGTAATAAATAGCTTTAAAAAAGGGCCCCTAGATTTATGGACCCTGTTTCATTTGCATTTTGGTATTAGACGGTCTGGCGGCTTCTGCATGCTCGAGACCTGTCTGGACGCGAGTAAACAAACGCGTGTTCGTTGCGTCATGGGCTAATCCTTTGGTCCGTGGGGGAAAGCCCGGGTCCTTGGCACGACATTATAGTCTGTTGGATCGATCAGAATGAGCCATTTGGTCGGGCGACTTCTTCGTCTGTCCCGTCTCGTGTCCTCCCTTCATTCACTTGTCGTGAGGGAATTCGACGTCATCCTCCGCTACTTTAAAGTGCTGCGGTCGATGCCCAGAGCAACGCAGATTCCACATCTTGAAGTACGACCTTTCCAAGTCCCTCACACAAACACGCGTTAGGTTAAAAAAGAACAAAAGTAGCAAGAACTCACCCAACGCTCAGTGTCAAACAGAGGGCAAGTCAATCGAGCTTGTCAGAGACTGAAACTTTGTCCTATCCAACGCTACAGACGCAGCCCTCTCCTCGTACTCCTTTATGCTGTTTGCAAAGAGAAACATGATTTCTTAGGTTTAGCCCAATCGAGCTTGTCATGCTGTATTTTGTCATCGTCTATCAATCCAGCAATCGCGTTGGACGTCATGGCAGAGACGTTGAGAACGTGCTCGGCTTCAGATTGATTACGTTGTCTCCACTCAGAGCCGTCACTCTGACTCAGCGCGGCAAAAGACCTGCAGATAACATCAAGACTCGGTACCTCTGACTACCGAATAAATTATGTTATTCTCGGTATAAATATAAACGGAGATAAAGTTCGAGTTTACAAACCTCGACATTATCTCTGTTGTGCATGCCGAAGACAGACCTCAAAAGGTGTGAGAGGGGATGATTACCGAAATGGCAAAATCGCTGCTTACATATCCGACCCTTAGTCTCTCTAATCCTCTAGCAGTCTTAATAGGGATCGGCAAAGTGACATCTGAAAGAACACTGAAAATATCAACCCGGTTAGATAACTAATGCAAGACAGTACCTAAAATATCGAAATGTCGATTATCTAAGGGACGATATTTCTTAGTTGATTTGCCTTCTGATAATCCCTTCAACCGCAGCCAACATTTTTTCTCGATCCTTCCAACTGCAGACACTCTAGTAATGGGAAAACCAACCAGTCTTAGGAAACAATATGAATATATCTCCTAAGCAGCACAAAAAAAACTCTATATCTTGCAAACTGAACAAAAATAATTCAATTTAAAGTATACTGTAATGGCATACCTGTAGGGGGTGTAGCCTGTCTGTAGCTCTTTATCGCATCCTCGACAAGTCCACTGCGTGTTACAAGGAACGACCAAGAATCTCTTTATGGATGTATCCTATATATATTCTTTTTTGTCAATATTTTCCGACAGGAGAATGTAAGTTTAAAATTCTTTAAACTCATCTTAAATCATGATCTCTATGTAAACAATTTTAATACATCAGATCATGTATGCGGAAATAAATTCTGAATCGAACACATACCTCCAGCCATTGAAAATGGTTGAGTTGAAATCTGAATATTTGGTGCTTCTAAACCTTTAGCAATACAATACTGATGGTGTATATCTATCTGTTTTGCTTGGCTTAGGGACCAAATACGTTACCCCTATTTATTGTTTTTTCTCCATCAGAAAAAACTGCTATTGGGGTGGTTATCATGCAGTTAACACAACATGGAGGAAATGTTAGACCATTAACATAATGGGAAGTTAATAAAACTTCCAACATTCTCCCACTTGGTCTATATATTTTTCTTAATGTGTCGATTATCTGTATAAGAAACACAATATATGAATCATGGGGATAAGTCCTCTTAGTACGAGTATTATCTTCCATGTATTACAGTATATCATGTGTCTTTAAACTTTATATGATAACATTACTTAATGAATAAGCCTTATGCTTATTCTAGGTCCAAGTAAGTGAGTCTTTTAATATCAAATATAGTGTACACTAAAGAAAAAGATACTCACAACTGAATAAGAGTTTCGTGAATACATAAATGTACGTACAAATGAAATAATCACATCATGGAACCAAGTCCCATACTCACAACATGATCCCTGAAATTCTTAATTGGCATGCCCTTAGTCAGAGGATCGGCAATCATCAATTCAGTGCTAATGTGTTCAATGACCACTTTCTTTTCCGCAACACGTTCTCTTATGGCTAAGTACTTGATGTCGATGTGTTTACTCCGACTTCCACTCTTATTGTTCTTAGCCATGAAGACAGCAGCTGAATTATCACAATATAATCTCAATGGCCTAGCAATAGAATCCACAATTCTAAGCCCGGATATGAAACTCTTCAACCATACACCATGCGACGTTGCCTCGAAACATGAAACGAACTCAGCTTCCATAGTGGAAGTAGCGGTCAATGTCTGCTTGCCACTCCTCCATGATACAGCTCCACCGGCAAGCATAAATACATATCCAGAAGTCGACTTACGTGAGTCAACACAGCCAGCAAAGTCTGAATCTGAGTAACCAGTGACCTCTAAATCGTTCGTCCGTCTATACATAAGCATGTGATCCCTCGTACCTTGTAGGTACCTCATCACCTTCTTTGCAGCTTTCCAGTGGTCCAAACCTGGATTACTCTGATATCTCCCTAACATTCCCACGACAAATGCAATGTCAGGTCTTTGCAAACCTGAGCATACATAAGGCTTCCAACTGCAGAAGCATATGGAATGTTCTTCATTTGTTCCCGTTCGAGCTCATTTTTCGGGCATTGATTCAAATTGAACCTATCACCCTTCACAATAGGTGCTGGACTCGGTGAACAATCTTTCATCCGAAACCTCTCCAAGACTTTATTGATATAGATCTCCTGAGACAAACCTAGAATATATCTAGATCTATCTCTATGGATCTTAATGCCGATGACATAAGATGCCTCACCCATATCCTTCATGTCAAAATTCTTAGAGAGAAATTGTTTCACCTCATACAACAACCCTTTGTCATTGGTTGCAAGTAAAATGTCATCCACATATAGAATAAGGAAACAAATCTTACTCCCACTAACCTTCTGGTATATGCAGTTATCCATGGTATTTTCTTCGAAACCAAATGAAGAAATGACACCATGAAACTTCAAATACCACTGACGGGAAGCTTGTTTCAATCCATATATGGATCTCTTAAGTTTGCAAACCAAATGCTCACCACTACTAGAGGAGAATCCTTCAGGTTGTTTCATGTAAACCTCTTCCTCCAGTTCACCATTGAGGAACGCCGTTTTCACATCCATTTGATGTAAATCCATATCAAAATAGGCAACTAATGCCATGATCACACGAAAAGAATCTTTCTTTGATACAGGAGAAAAAGTCTCCTTGTAATCGATTCCTTCTTTCTGAGTGAATCCTTTGGCTACGAGTCTTGCTTTATATCTTTCGATGTTGCCCAATGAGTCTTTCTTGGTTTTGAAGACCCATTTACAACCAATGGCTTTTACACCATTAGGCAACTCGACAAGATCCCAGACTTCATTCGATGCCATCGAATCCATCTCATCTTTCATGGCACTATACCATAAGTCAGATTTCCTACAACTCATGGCTTGTGAAAACGTTTCAGGATCATTTTCGGCTCCAACATTATACTCACACTCTTGTAGATACACCATGTAGTCATCTGGAATTGCTGATTTCCGTACTCTACTAGATCGTCTCAATGTCGTATCAACATTTTCCTGAGGATCATGTTGTATAACCGGTTCAACAATTTCAGGCATTTGTTGAACATGATCTACCGGATCATCAGCTTGTGGAGGTTCGGGAACTGGTTGTTCAACAACACGCACTGGAGCTGGATAAGGGCGACGAACGACAACAGTTCGAAGGTGACTTGAAGTAGAAGGTTGTGAAATAGAGTGATCACTCTCAGACCTTTCTCCTAATGATCTGTCACTCCCACTAATCAAGTCATTCTCAAGAAATTTTGCATTTCTTGACTCCACAATCCGTGTACTGTGAGATGGACAATAAAATCTGTATCCCTTAGACTTTTCGGCATATCCAATGAAATAACCACTAATGGTCCTCGGGTCTAACTTCTTCTCTTGTGGGTTATAAACTCTTACTTCAGACGGACATCCCCAAACGCGTACATGTCGCAAACTCGGTTTCCAACCTTTAAACAACTCGAAAGGTGTCTTTGAGACAGCCTTGGATGGAACTCAGTTTAATATGTACACCGTCGTTTTAAGAGCTTCATTCCACAAGGACTTAGGAAGTTTTGAGTATGATAACATACTCCGCACCATGTCCAATAATGTTCGGTTTCTCCTTTCTGCTACACCATTCTGACTCGGAGAACCAGGTGTGGTATATTGGGCAACAATCCCATGTTCAGCAAGAAACTTCGCAAAAGGACCGGGTGCTTGTCCACTTTCAGTGTATCTACCGTAATATTCACCACC